AGCTGTAGACATGTGATTTTTGACCCTCCCCAAGATTTTTCATATTTTAGCACGTAAATATTTAATCTAGGCCTAATATCGCTATCGTTATTTCAGCTAATTTTGACTTTTCTACTTTATTTTATTACAAGAAAATAAAAATTATAAAAAATAGTTTCATTAATATTTTTAGTCATTTTTAATATTGAAAAATATTAAAAATAGTTTTGTTTTAACGGTCAATCTTATTTTAATAGTTATTTTACTTAAGTAAGACTAATTAATAAATGAGATCGTATTTTAATCTCGTTCGCGGGGAAAGAATAAAACTTGGGCTCGAGCAACCCATTTTTATGCCTACTTTTTGGACCTAATCCATAATTACCAAGACCATAATTCCTAGGCCCATACCCCTAACCTAATTCCTACCCTTATATAATAGTACATAATTCCTAAATTAGAGACCACGCCTAAAACACACAATCAGCCGCTAGAGCTCTTTCTTCTTCCCAAAAAAAAACTTGGAAAAACTATAGAACCAAAATACACCCTTCCAATTGCCATAACCCATAAAGGAGAACACCTAAGAAAAACGCACAGGAGCAGCGAAATTTGGCCATTCTCTGGCTGGCTTTTCTTTCTCATAACAGCAACTCATGACCTTTCTTCCCCATCTGAAAAACACACCCCAAAATAGCTTCAAATACGACCTGAAAAACTGGCCTAAATCCAATTGAAATTCCGCCACCAAATAGCCATGAAACTAGCTGAAGTCCACACCAAAATCCAGCTACAAAACTTCAGCAAAATAGCTTCGAAAACCAATCCAAAAATCCATGAAAACCCAGTGAATCATCCTGACACGTGCTATGGATCTGTGAAAGGGTCGAGTCCGTCGAGGTCGGCATGGAAGTGCTCCGGTCTATGTTTCCTATTGGTTGAGTTCATTTGCTGCTCATTTTTGGTCGTTGTCTCTGTTCTATTGAGTTACAATCTCTCAGCCTCAAATTCATTAATAAAGGTCCATTTTTCTTCTTACTCTAGTTTCAAATCCTGCTTTGGTTGTTTTCTATGATGATTAATCTTGCATTGATCTATTTAATTGTTAAAGATGAATTCATGTAGTGTTTCCTCCGCTCTTTAGTATGTTGATTCTTTGAGTTTAATTCCCAGCACATTGCACGATGCCTTTATGGATGAATTGTACTAAGCTTCACAGTCTTTAAAAAATAGAAAAATGGGCCTCGTCATTTATCGAGTTTAAGGATGGAAGAATGGGCTTTGGGGGTCAGTTCTGTTTTAATTGCATGTGGGCCAAATGAATTTACTTTACTGAACCCATTTCCTTAATAAATCATAAGTTGGTGCAGTTACTCGCCTATCAAAGATTAGCAACTAAATTAACAAATGTCAGTAAGTTATAAGTATGCTGGCAGTAGAATCAACCATGTAAATAATGTTAGTGGTCAACTCTATCACTTGATCCTCAAATAAAATCCATAACCCTTGGCCCTCACATTAATACTAACTAGTGTAGAAAATATCTTGAAAATTCGTAGTTGCTTTAGGCCCGCTATTTTAAATTAATTTTCGTTATTTATCTAAATTCGGGTGTGCATTTCATGTGACCCAACTCCAATTCTCAACAACGTTAAATAAAATGTGTCGTGGACCGTTGGTGCATTTCATGTGACGTGGTTCAAGGCGCGTTTTAAATAACGTTGAATCTTCCTAAATTAATTAAAAGCAGTTAATATGTTAAAATATACCATAGGCTAAAACATGTATTAAAATCAGATAATAGGCCAATTGTAATAGTTTAAGCGACCGTGCTAGAACCACGGAATCCGGAAATGCCTAACACCTTCTCCCGGGTTAACAGAATTCCTTATTCAGAATTTCTGGTTCGCAGACTTCAAAATGGTCTGGATTTTGGATATTTATTTCATTGATTGGTTAGTCAGACACAGAATTGTTATTTCTGGAATGGATCCAAATATGATTTGAGCCATAGTTGAAGGGGATTGGGAAATTGATAGTTTATTTAGCTTTCAATCAAGTGTTAATAGCAATCAATCTACCTGAGGTTTATGAGAACCATTTTGAGCAATTTTCCTGTACATCTTAGTATGTGAAGATCTCTTAAGCGCTTAAAGTGTTATTGTAATATCAAATTTGTTGGAGTATTATTGTGAATGAATCAGGTTGAGATTGCTTTCTTTTCTTTTGAAATTGTCTAGTGAAGGATGCTGGGGGTCTATTTGGAAACAGCCTCTCTACCCCAGGGTAGGGGTAAGGTCTGGGGACTGCGTACACACTACCCTCCCCAGACCCCTTTTCACTATCATTATCCCCCTTTTCACTATGCCTTATTTTAAAATCTGTTGCTTTCTCTTCTACTCTTTCACTTTATGTTGTTCTAATCGTGTTCTGGTTTGTTGTATTTCCTAATGTTGCTTTGGCTATTCTAGGTTTGTAGTTAGTTTCTTTCTAATTTGTTTCTCCTCTTGCTTGATGTATTGATTTGCACATGCATGTCTGAGCGTATGTGTGTGTGTGTGTAATTGATTGTTCTAGACTAATGTAAGCCGTTGAAGTTATTGATTTTGAAATGTTTGTTCATCTTCTGAAGTTATTAATGATTTGTTCTCTGTTTTGCCTGTACTCTTGATATGGTTTGACTATCTTTGATATTTTATGAATACCCATTTCATCTGTTTTCCTCCATGTTTTTTTGGTAGAATGTGTACATTGCATCTGATTTCTGTTAAATATTTTTGTTTAATCTTTATTTTCTTGTCAGTTTTCCCTTGCAGCTCTCCTTAAAGTATGTTGTGATATGAAATCAGGAATTAGCTAGTAGTCACAAAACCAAATTTGTGCAAACTGACTTCTTTTCCTTTTAAATCCTATAATGAGATTAATTTGATATGTTGTTCTTTTTTAGTAGCTTGCATGTACATTTAATGTCCAAATTTGGGTCTAGGTAATGTGTTTCTGTAGAATAGCTTGGCTCATGACTAGCATCTTGTATGTCCATTATTTTCTTTTTCTTTTTTGATCAATTTATTTAGTCTAGGCATTCCAGATGAAAGGTAATGACTTTATTTATCCTCTTTTGTAGGTGGAGTAGATCAAGAAATAGAAGATGAAGGCAATGAAGATCTAGACCTTACTTAAAATAAATTTTGAATTGCTATAGATGAATGTTCTAGGAATCTTTTGTTGTCAACATTTTGAAACTTACTATCTTGAAATGTATTAAACTTATGCACTTGGGGTAGAACATAATATTAATAATTTTATTTTGTGATTTATTTAAATTTTAGTGTTATTATAATTTATTATATATATATATATATATATATATATATATATATATATATATATATATATATATATATATATATATATATATATATATATATATTTTACAATAGGAGCTATATTTCTGTTTTATATGAACTGTTACAATAGCCTACCATAACCGTTGCAATAGGACACAAACCATTAGAATGTAAACTGTTCTAATAGATCCAGTAAACCGTTCGAAAATGCCCTCTAAACCGTTCCAATAGGTATTTAAAACCGTAGCGATACAAAAACAACCGTTACAATAGCTTAAAGAGACCGTTGTTATATCCATAAATAACCGTAACAATAGCTTACGAAAGTGTTGCATTAGATAATATGGTAACGGTTATGAGCCGTTGCATACACGTTATAGTAACGGTTTTAAACCGTCCCAATTGGAAGGAATAATCGTTCCAATAGAGAAAAGGAAAACCGTTGCGATAGACGTCTCTATAGCAACAGATATGAAAACCGTTCCAAGAACCGTTCCTATAGCTCTATTGGCACGCGAGCGGATGTGACGGTCTGTAAACCGTTCCAATATAGCTACGGCAACGGTTTATCTACCTACTGGAACGATTTTCCATCCGTTCCAATAGGCTTATTTTCTGGTAGTGTGGAGTGAAGAAATAACGGTAGGATAGGTTTAGAAATGGACACAAGGAATATTCCTTTGAATATTGCTTGTTTTGACTTTTCAGGGTTCCTTGGAATATCCCTATAAATAGGAAGAGATAGAGAACAAAGGGGGGATCTTCACTTTTTGAGAAGAGTACATTGTAAAAGGTTTGACTAGAAGGAATATACAAAAGTTGTCTTGTTCACTGATTATCTTATTCAAGCACACGTTGTTTAATCTTTGTTCACAAGATCCAAAGATTCCTTATCCTTCTTCACTTCTCATCTTTCCACGTTAGTGTCAGGTGGAAGAAACATCCAAATCATATAATAATTGGGTGATAGTTCTTCCTTATTACATTTATTGCATGTTCATGTTACAATAATTATTCGCAATCACTGAGTGTAAATATGCTATTTAATGCTCTCAAACGCTGTTCATCTTACAAATATCCTACAATATTTGATCTAGAATTTATTATATTTAGCTAAGATTCGCCCTTTATTTCATCGTTAATTAGTTTAACAAAAGGCTTAACATTTTTTGGTCAAACAAAAATTAAATTCTTGTTGAAATTTTAGTAATTTTCACATATATAAACAGAAAACAAAACCGTTCAGAGTGAGATTTGAATTGCCAATTTCACTTGTAGAGGTGCACCCAATAATAATTGCACCATAAGAGTCTTTGAGCATGGGTTCACACACATATATTTAATTAATTATAAAAAAATATAATATTGTGATACATGGTTCAGGAGAGTAGTATGGGTTCACGTGAGCCCATATCCTTCAACTTGAATACTGTTGCTACTTGGTTGCTTTATCTTTATTGTTCCTTAAGCCGATGTTCTATCAAAAACCGTCTATTTCTATAGGTAGGGTAACGTCTTCGTAAATACTACCGTACACCGTTTATGAGATCAAGCTGAGTTATTTTGTTGTAGTTGTTGTAGTCAAATATATATAGTAAAAAATATAATATTTTATCGATTAATTTTAGAGCGCTAAAAATATTAAGTACATTTTTTCGTATTATTTGATAGCTCCGCAGCTAGAGTTGTCCGTACTGTTTACCAGCGGACTTTTCGAGGAACCCAAAAAAACAAAACTCTGTTTACACTCCTCTTTGTTATAGCCGTCTTCACCAACCCCGAACGTCACTCTCCATTATTTAACAGTAGCCGTCTCTACCAATTCTCAACGAAAAGCACAATTTTCACAGACCAAAAAGACGAGGCCACTCTAAAAAAATGGCAGCAAGTTCCAGTTTGTTGAAGCTAAACGCCTCTTCATCTTCATGGATCGGTCAACAATCGTTTAATCAACGGTCCGGATCTTCCTGCCGTTTGCCTTCTTCTACTCGCCGTGTTAACGTTATCCGCGCCGGATCTTACACCGATGAGCTCCTCAAAACTGCCGTAATCTCTCTCTCTCTCTCTCTCACTTTTTTCTTTTTTTTTTTTCAAAAGAAAAATCTGATTTTATCTGTTTGCATGTTTCGTGATCGGATCTAGAAGCTTCTATTTACGACTCATTAATTTTGACTTGTATTTTTTTTTCTTTTTTTCTTTTTTGACATAAATATACTGAATTTTGGGACTGTATTGTCATTTGCTTCACTGAATTGATGAAAATTGAAAAGGTTTAGTTTGTCAACTTTTTTTTTATTGATGTTGATATATTTGGCTGTTATGAATTGGACACACACATTTATTTGTTTGCATGTTTCGTGATCGGATCTGAAAGCTTCTTTTTACGACTTAATTAATTTTGATTTTGTTTTTTTCTAATTTTTTTGGGTATACAGCATTCATTTTTTGTTGTAAATTCCGCTAGTATACTGAATTTTGAAACTGTACTACCATTTGTTTAAGTGGGTTGATGGAAATTGAAAAGGTTTAGTTGGTCAACTTTTGATTTTTAATCGTTTATATTTTGGTTGTACTTATGAATTGGATTCCTTTATATGGTTTATTCTAGTTATATGTGTCTTCAGAATCCTATCTTTTGATTGGATGTTTAGAAAATCTTCTAAAGTTGCAAAAAAAGGTGATTCTTTGGGCTTGCTATACTTTATTCATTTGGCCGCTACATATAAACATGCTCATGATGTGCCTGAATTCATATTTAGTTCAGGAAAGATAGATTTTAAGAAAGTGTTAGCTATTTTAAAGGTACCTTTCATCTAATTAGATTGATGTCTTGTCTGTTTCATGCTGTAAATAACAAGAAAATTCTGATCTTTTTGTTTTTTGGTAGTTTACAAACCCTTTCTTGAAGGAAGGAGCTTTATTGATGGAACCTCATTTCCTTAAATTTAATGTAATTTCGCTTTAAAGTTGATAAATGTCAGAGGTTGAGTCAGTGGGTTCAGTGGAAGTGTGCTTTATTACATCTATGCATATGAAAAGTTTTTTGCATGTGTAGACATGGTCCGAGCCACAATCAGTGGGGTTGGTCGTGTGTTCGCACTATGAAGTGCTAGATCCACCTCTGAATTAAAAGTGACTTTTCTGTAATGTCCTTGTAAACTTAGACAATGTATAGTGGAGTAGAATATGTTTGTGCGATATACAATGCTTTTGAACTAAGCTGCTCATTGTTTTGTTGATATAGAAAACTATTGCATCTCCTGGAAGGGGCATCCTTGCCATTGATGAATCAAACGCAACTTGCGGAAAGAGACTGGCGTCAATTGGTCTGGACAATACAGAAGCAAACAGACAAGCTTACCGTCAACTCTTGTTGACCACTCCTGGCCTAGGTGATTACATTTCTGGTGCCATTCTATTTGAGGAGACACTTTATCAGTCAACTACCGATGGGAAGAAGATGGTTGACTGCTTGCGCGAGCAGAATATTGTACCTGGGATCAAAGTTGATAAGGTGTGATTTCTAACCTGTTTCTATGTTTCGTGTAACTTTTTCTGCGCTTCAGGGCTTATGCTGCTACCTTTATACAAATATTTTGTTTGCCTGTTGAACTTTGCCCAATTTTAACCCTTCTTTTTATTTACAGGGTTTGGTACCCCTACCAGGATCCAATGATGAATCTTGGTGCCAAGGGTTGGATGGATTGGCTTCTAGGTCTGCTGAATACTACAAGCAAGGGGCCCGTTTTGCTAAGTGGTATGTTGTGCCCTTTCTGCTTCCTCTATCATCTTTCTCTTGTCCTTTTCCTTGGAAGACAGAAGTGGTCTAAACGTTTCTGAAGAATTATGGTACATAAATCATATGTGTCTTTGATTTTCAGGAGAACAGTTGTTAGCATTCCTTGCGGTCCTTCTGCTTTGGCGGTAAAAGAAGCAGCCTGGGGTCTTGCTCGATATGCTGCTATCTCTCAGGTGCTTTTTAGGACTTTTTCTTTCTATCCTTCCAAAGATATAACAAGAAAATAGGGTTCTCTTACTCAAAAGAAAAATAAAATATATATAACAAGAAAGTAGGGGACACTAAGTCACCAGATTCACCCATTTAAGCATTTGTTGGTTGCACTTTTTGGGATATTTTTCCCATCTTAAGAATTTGGAGAACAATCTTTAAGGCATCTGATAGGTTTTGGGGAATGATGGAAGTTTTATCTTTCTATTCATGGATTGCTGAAGATTATTTTCTTACATTCTGCAGGACAATGGTCTAGTGCCAATCGTCGAGCCTGAGATTCTTCTTGATGGAGACCACCCAATAGAAAGAACACTTGAAGTTGCTGAACGTGTTTGGGCAGAAGTCTTCTACTACCTTGCAGAAAACAATGTTGTTTTCGAAGGAATTCTGCTTAAACCTAGCATGGTTACTCCTGGGGCTGAACACAAAGAGAAGTCTTCTCCAGACACTATTGCTAAGTACACACTCAAAATGCTGAAAAGGAGAGTTCCTCCTGCTGTTCCAGGAATCATGGTACAAATTCCTTTCCCTTCCTAACTGATTCCAGTAGGTAGGAAATATGCTGTCACATATTCACTAGTTCAAGAGGCAAAGAATCTTTCCCAAAGTGATATTTTAATCCTCAGTTGTTTCTTTGCTTTTTGTTTCAAATTAATCTGAGTCGAACCCATAAGAAAGGTAAGAGAAACTTCATTTCACAGACCCCCTGATAATGTCTGGAAATGTCGGTTGGTGTCTTCAACTTGGGGTTCTCATCTGGATATAGTGTTGCCACCACCACCATCATTTTTAAGATTTCGAATAGCTTACCTGTAGAATATTTAATGTTGATACCTATTACCAGGAAAGTTATCCTAAATTATGACATGATTGAATACTCCGCCCTTTGAAAAAAATATAGCAGGCATTATTCTGCTGCTCCTTATTGGTTATTTTATTCCATCTCTTTTTCTTGGTCAACTATGCTAAAAGTCTGTGTGCTTCTCACCTTTCAGTTCCTCTCGGGGGGACAATCCGAAGTGGAAGCGACACTCAACCTCAACGCCATGAACCAGAGCCCCAACCCATGGCATGTGTCCTTCTCATATGCACGTGCACTCCAGAACACCGTGCTTAAGACATGGCAAGGTCGTCCTGAGAATGTAGATGCTGCACAAAAGGCACTCTTGATTCGTGCAAAAGCAAACTCCTTGGCTCAGCTTGGAAAATACTCCGCAGCAGGTGAAAGCGAGGAAGCTAAGAAAGGAATGTTTGTTAAGGGCTACACCTACTAAGCACCCCGCTTTTGCTGCAACTTTATGTACTTTCCAGTTTTTTATCGTTTGCTAGATTTGAATGCTGAAGAGAGTTTAGTGGCGGACTAATTGCTCTTTCTTCTTTTTGATCTCAAATTAGTGTACTTGATTAATAAGCTGCAAGGGGTGATTCGTCGAAACACAATCCTAGAAATGCTCGGGTTTATACTTTATATATGAGGGACATGTATGTCTACAAGAATGTTTAGAATACCTTGTATTATCCCTATATTGAGAACTCTTTAAATTATGCAATCTTTTTCCAAGCGCTCATTGATTTCAAATCCTATTTCCTGTAATGCTGCATTTGTTCGTTCCTTGCTGGTTTTGTTCATAAACTTCTTTCTTCTTTCTATACAGTGGCTTGTGCTTTTGATTCTTTAGAACTTCCAAGGTACACCAGAAGACAATACCAATATAAAGAGAACACATTAATGAAATTGTTTATATACTATGTTTCTTGGCTTATAGACTTTTAAGTGGGGTGGATTTTGGGTCGGATCAGGTTTCTTTCAACTGAATCGGGTTTAATCTGGTGCACAGCGATGTGGCACTCCATCCAAAATATGGGTATATTTGTTCCAAAGTATAACGGTAGAGATAGCCAAATAGTATAACGAAGGGTATATTTTAATTATTTTTCATAATACATGAGTATATCTAACCCTTTTCCGTAAAATCAATTATGAGAATTTTTGTACCATATTCTCTGCAACTAAGCCAACCGGCTGGATTTTCAAAGCATTGCCAGTTTCTACTCGTGTGTGGGCTGATATAACCATGGATTCTTTACTCTTTTATAATTGAGAAATTTATGAATGTCAGTGGCGTATGGTTTGTAACTCGATGGACAATAGATCCGCCTCTCTATTCTTCTTCACTTAAATATTAAATAAATTTCTACGGTAGAATTTTGAATATATGACATGTGTTTAACCCATACATTATTAATTGCACTCTTACTACTAGAACAAAGTTGAGGAGGCTATAAGCTTGAATTTGATTGAGGCTATAGCAAATACAAACAATATTTATCCCTATCCCATTCTATCTATAAAATTCCACGTTTTGCTTTCTCAAACCTTATTATCAGCGACCACCCTCAATCACAAATTTTCCGGTCCTTGTTATTTCAAATTTTTCTCTGTCTCTTGAATTTGTTTAGGATTAATTTCATATATGGTATGTGGTCGCTGAACTTTTTCCACTGTACTAGTAAAATTATTTGACTTATTTTTTATAATACTAAAGTAATTGTGTTGTACCCAACAAATATTTTTTCATGACATCAAAAATATCTGAATTTTATCCAGTATAATAATTAAGTCACAAAATTTTACCAACTATAACAATAGAATTTGTCCGATGCTAATTCTACTTATGTAGCCGTTGGATGCCATATATAGGATAGAGTTTTTAACAAGTATATCATTCAAGATAAGGTCTATAGGTCACGTGTGCCTCCATGTGACCTATAAGTCACGAGTTTGAGCCGTGAAATTAGCCACTAGTGCTTGCATGAGGTTAGGCTGCCTATGTCACATCCCATTAGAGTGCGGCCTTCTCCAGATCTTGTGTGAATGCGGGATGCTTTGTACACCGGATTGCCCTTTTATATTATTCAAGATAAGGATGATTGATTTATTAACCATCTTAATTTGGAATATTCTTTGAATTATTCTTCAGTATCTTCTAGAATCAAAATTAATAATAAAAGCATAGTAATAATAATAATAAAAAATATTAAGAAAAAGGGGGACCAACAACAATATAGACTTTCTCCCCTTTCAATTCCTTGTGGTCCAAATAGACTTTTTGTCCAAAGAAGACCCTTTGTATTAAGACCATCTAAACAAATTTTTATAGGACATTCATAGTATACATGTAGGGTATATTCTATTTTCATGTTTATATTGTGTCTCTTAAACATCATAGTATCTTAACCACGTATCCGTTCCCTCCTTAGCATCAGGTACTCCTCTATCCCAACCACGTATCTAGGTGGTTCAACTGAATTTCCTACATCGAAAAACTATATTGCGGTAAATACGGTAAATATAACTTTTTTTGGTTATATATAAACTGTTGAATTTCCCTGACATAAAGAAAATGTTCTAGTGTAGTAATAACAGATTTTTAATAGGACCAATTATGACATTCTAGAATGTTTTGGATCTCTTTATATAAATTTGTAGCTCCTCAATTGCCTCTTACCAATTGTCAATGAAATCCATGCCAGAGACTTGAGAGTGGTCCATCCATTCTATAATGCTTTACCATCTTCTTTTTAGAAATTCATGCGAGACAATGACAAACAGCCTAATATACAAAGCATCTCGCATTCAGGTAGGGGTGGCAAAATGGTTAAAAGAAAATAGTTAACCACTCATATTATTCACTAAAAAATGGGTTGGATAATGAACTTTTTAAAAACGGGTCAAATATGGATAAGAACCATATTATCCATTTAGAAAATGGATAACCAATGGATAACCAATGGGTCTAACTTTTACATTTGTAAAGCCTCAAATTGGGGATTCCTCAAGTTAGGGAGACTAAAAATTCTCCCAAAAGTGATCATATACAAGAAGTCATGGATAATATGGGTAACCTATACTTTCCGCCGGTTAACCCATTTTTTATCCGTATTAAATATGGGTCGGGTCGGATAATTGATCCATTTTTTCATTACCCGTTTTCGACCTGAACCATATCCGACCCGCCCCGCCCGTTTGCCACTCCTACTTTCAGGTAAGGTCCGGGAAAAGGACGTACCTCTAAAAATGTAATGTAGACAATCCACCCTAATGTGAGGCAATGACACTAAAGGGCAGCCCGATATACAAAGCATCTTGTATTCAAAAAAGGTCCGGGGAAAGGCCGTACCTCTAAAAATGTAATAGACAATCTATCCTAATGTGAGGCAGTGACACTAAAGGGAGCCCGGTATACAAAGCATCTTGCATTCAGATAAGGTCAGGGGAAAGGTCGTACTTCTAAAAATGTGATGTAGACAATCTACCCTAATGAACCCGATATACAAAGCATCTCGCATTCAGATAAGGTCCGGGGAAAGACCGTACTTCTAAAAATGTGATGTAGACAATCTACCCTAATGTGAGGCAGTGACACTAAAGGTCAGCCCGGTATACAAAACATCTTGCATTCAGATAAGGTCCAGGGAAAGGCTGTACTTTTAAAAATGTGATGTAGACAATCTACCCTAATATGAGGCACTGACACTAAAGAGCAGCCTGGTATACAAAGGATCACGCATTCAGATAAGGTCCGGGGAAAGGCTGTACCTCTAAAAATGTGATGTAGACATTCTACCCTAATGTGATGCATTGACACTAAAGAGCAGCCTGGTATACAAAGGATCACGCATTCAGATAAGGTTCGGGGAAAGGCCGTACTTCTAAAAATATGATGTAGACAATCTACCCTAATGTGAGACAGTGACACAGTCACGCTCAATTGGTTTATTACAAAAAACTAGGAATTATGGACCAAAATCCTTGGTAATATTAAGTAGTAGTTGTAGTTTTTTTTAACAAAACATGACAAGGAAAAAAAGAAAAAAGAAGAGGAAAACAGTCCTCGAAATGCAACATTGATATGGCTGTCGGAATCATGAAATTAGATTAGGTGAATAATGTTGAGAGAAATGGAATCTGACCATATAAATTTGAGACATCAAGGGAAGACTCTGCTCTTTCCTGTCTTCTACATATTTTTTTACTAATTTAAATCTTGATTTTTTTGTCTGTTAGATCAAAGCTTTTGTCATTGTTTGGCTATTAGAGAACAAACCCTTTTTCCCTCTTATTCAGCTTAGTCCAAATGTGGTCTTGTTTGCTGAGGCAAATTCAAGATTTAAAGTCAACGAGTTTAGAATGAGTTCGATATCATTATAGAGAAAATGATAATTTTTTCTCATGTATTGTTCGAAAAGAAATTGAGCAACTTTGGTTTTCGTTAAACTTTTGGTTTAATATTAGCACCTTTGTAAGAAAACAATTTCGTTTTCGGCCTTAACACTTAACGAAGCTCCAATTTGAGAATAATTTTAAATCATAATCAGAAATTGAAGGATAAATTTGGACTATTTTCATGAAGAGTTCGGACACGTAAAGTCCATCCATTTTACGTACGTTGGGAGTTCCGTTAATAGTAAGAAAAAATACCAGATTATTGCTAATGAAAAAAATATGGTCGATAACTAATAGTGTAACGAATGACAAAATTGAGCAATTTTGAATATTACAAGAGCAAAATTTGGACTTTTTCCTTTATTATATGTATATGTATATATAATGTGTTCAGTTGAATCTACGAAACTCAGACCTAAATCTGCCTTTGGTGGGATGGAATTCTCTCATCAACATAAATTTGTATAAAATATGTAGGCAATATGTTTGCCTTATAATGACTCAAAGGACCAACAATGTCTGAGAAGACACCATTAAATATTTGTCAATTTGGTTGTAATGTTTTGCATGTTGTCTGTGTGTGTGTGTGTGTTTTTGTGGTGTATGTGTGTAGGGGTCATGAAAGGGTGTCCACAAAAGAAATAGTGTCACATTCATATTCACAAGTTCCAAATGACCCCTAAAGTTAGTGTCACATTTTCATTTGAATAGACACTAAAGTTGAGGCAATGAGAAACCTTGACACTACTTTTTTCTTTTTACCTCTTCTCATTGTTTTCTGGTTTTCCACTCAACAACAACAATTAAGGGCGGAGCCACGGTGTTGATTGTAGGTTCGGCCAAATACAGTAGTTTTTATTCAAATTCTGTATTTGTTTTAAGAAATTCAATGAATATGTACAAATTATTAATTTAGAACCCAGTAACTTAAATGGATAATAATCCCGAACCTATAAGGTTCAAATCCTAGCTCCGCCTCTGACAACAATCCCGTGAAATCCTATAAGTGGAGTCTTGGGAGGGGGAGGGGGCGAGAGATTATGTGTACGCAGACCTTACCCCTACCCCGAGAAATAGGGAGATTGTTTCCGATAGGCCCTCGATTTTTCACTCATTATCCAGCATTTGTATTGGGGTTGCGACTAATTCAAGAGCGCCTTATGTTAAGATTCTTTTCATACCTAAGTTTCGAGCTTGAGAATTTTGTTAAGGATGGAGAGATTCTATTCATCCCACAATTACCTTTTGGAGTCGTTTGGTAGGATGTATAATAATAGTACTGAATATGGTGTATTAAAAATGTTTGGTATAGTAATCCGGGTATTAGTTATGCTGGGGAGTTATGCTTGGTT